CAACATGCAATGCAACCGAGTCTCCAAGTGTTTCCAGGAAGTTCTGGCTGCAGAAACAGTGCAAAAGAAAGCAAACACAAGGAGAAAACTCACTTGTAACAAACAGCTCTCACACTAACTAATCAGTCCCCAGGCCCTCAAGAGCGAGAACTCCTGCAAGACAGCATTAATCTATTCATGAGAGATCCACCCCCATGACCCAAACACCTCCCCTTATGCCCCTCCTTCCAATACCACCACGATGGCAATCCAATTTCAACATGAGTTTCAGAGGGGACAGAACTTACTTAAACTATAGCATTCCACCCCAGGGCCCCAGAACTCGCATTCTTCTTATATGTAAAACACAATTATTCCACTTTAATATTCCCCAAAGTCTTAACTTGTTCCATCACCAACTAAAAAGTTCAAAGTCCAAGGTCTCATCTGAGCACCTATGAAATCAAAGCAAGTCACCTACTTCCAAGATTCAACGGTGGGACAGGCATAGAGTACACATTCACATTTCACAAGGAAGACGTAGGGAAGAAAAGGAGTAATCATCCCAAAGCAGTATCTACCCTAGCGGGACAGGTATTAAATTTTAAGACTGGAAAACAATTTCCTGTGACTCCACGTCTGGCATATTTTGCACACTGGTGTGGGGTTAGGCCCCCAATGCCTCAGGCAATCTCACCTCTATGGCTTTGCTGAGTTTAGTCTGAAACCACCCTTTATAAAATTAATAAAAAAACCACAAAGCAGGAACTGTGATAAGGGACATTTTATATATATGCCATTGTTCCCTTGCTTGCTTTCCTATAATTGCTTACTACTCGGGAGTTGTATAATTGATAGTCATAAAGATTCTCATCTTTCTTCATTGCTCCCGTAGATTACATCACTCTTCGGAAACCCAAGGCTAGTTTTTGAGATATCTTCTGGGTCTGCATTCTGATAGATCAACTGACCCACCCAGACCAGTGGCCCATACCAAGGAACTGACTCAACTTGTCTTGCGACCCTCACCTGACTCAGCAAAGAAAACAATTTCTACACACCCATGATTCCTCCCAGAACCTAGCCAATCAGCAGACCCAATTGGTTGGCCCTTTACCCACTAAACTATCTTTAAAAGTCCTTTCTTCCAAATTCTTGGGGAGATGGACTTAAGAACTTCCTCCCATTTCTTCCCTATGATACCAAACTCTTTCTTGGCTACAATCCCTGCTGTCTCAGTGTATTGGCTTCCTCTTGAGCAGTGGGCAATGACTCTAACAAGGCCATAGCAAACCCATATGTTAGCTCTCTGGGATCAGAGTCTCATGACTGCAGCAATCCCAGCTGGCGTTGCACACTTGTAGCTCTATATAGTTCTGTACCTGAAAGGCTGTCTCATCCCTGCAGCTCCACCCAGCAGTGCCCTGGCAGACACTCTCTGCTTCAGCTCCAAACCCACATTTCTGTTAGGCATTGCCCTGGTTGGGATTTTCTGCAATGGCCCTGCCCCTGCCCCTGTAATAAGTCTCTTCCTAGGCTCCCGGGCTATTCAGTACATTGTTTGGAATCCAGGTAAAGGCTGCAGAATTAGCACCATGTGGATGGTGCCAAGGTTTTGCCTTGCATCTTTCAGAATTTTGGGTCAAGCCATACCTGGGGCCATTTGAGTCACAGCTGGGGTGGCTGAGGAACATTATACTGGGATGTAAGTAACAGAATCCCATGGCACCCTGGGCAGCCAGCCTGTGTAGGATACCCCAGGCCCGACCTTCTAAACCAGCAGTTCTCAACCTGTGGATCATGACCCCTTTGTAACAATGAAAACGCATTTGGCATATCAGATATTTACATTATGATTCATAATAGTAGCAAAACTACAGTTATGAAATAGCAAAGAAAATAATTTTATGGTTGGGGGTCACCACAACATGAGGAACTGTATTAAAGGGTCACGGCATTAGAAGGCATCAGGAAGGTTGAGAACCGCTGTTCTAAACCATTCTGCTCTCCTAGATCTGCTGGGCCTGTGGGGGACGGGGCAGCATTCAGCTCTCTGAAGGCCTTCAGGGCCTTTCCCCATTGTCGGAGGAGTAGCACCTGGCTCCCTTCCTGCCCAGCTAATCTCTTTACAAGGGTTTGCTCAGACACACCCTAACATGTTTTTTTCATTACTTGTCCAGACTGCAATTTTTCCAATATTTAACATTTGCTTGCTTTTAAATTATAAATTCTATCTTTAAATTTTCCCTTTGCTCCCAAATCTCACTGTAAGCATTGTGAAAAGGAAAGAGAAATGTGTGCACAGTATATACAGACTAGTACACGTTAGGCAACCCCTAGGGGATTTGGAAGACGTCTCCACAGATAAAGGGGGACAATTGTACCTCTTTGAGGACTTCCATGGAGTCTGGGGTGCCTTCTTCCTCATCCAAGCTGGTTGTAGAGACTGCCAATGCTTTCTTAACTGTGCCGGGTGGTTACCGGCAGTGCCTTGTCACAGTGAGTAGAAGGAGCATGGGGATCCTTTCCATGGCTCACGGGCCTCCCGATTAGCCAGGCACAGTAGCGCGAGTCTGAGGGGAGCTCCTGTGACTGGGTGTGTTGCTCGTGGCTGCTGCCAGCAGCACCAAGCAGGCATCATAGGTGGTGGTTCAGCATTTGAGAAGCAAAGTGGTCTCCATGGGAGTGTGCAGAGGAACACAGATGGCAGAAGAGCATTCTTGGTAACTTCACAGAGGTGTTCATCTAGAGCAGTGGTTCTCAACCTTCCTAATGCCATGACCCTTTAATACACTTCCTCAACCATGAAATTATTTTCATACACCTGTATTTGTATGGGGTATATGTGATGGTTTTAAGCAACCCCTGTGAAAGGATCATTGGACCCCCAAATGGATTGCGACCCACAGGTTGAGAACTGCTGATCTAGTGTCTGCTGGAAGATGCTCTTCTAATTCCTCCATTGGCTACTACAACGACAGATCAGCTTTCTGCAGATGAGCTTCACCTGAGCCTTCCTGGTCCTGGTCCTGATGCCAAGACCTTTTGGAAGGAGGAGTTTCTCTTGCACAACAGGGTAGAAGCTGGCAGTTGGCTCTTCAAGCCAGCAGTGTCTCCCACCCTCAGCCTGCATCGGTATCACCCTCCTGCTAGGAGCCTGAGCAGTCTTAAGAATAATCTTGGCAGATTGTGCCTGGTGACAACCTCCATGCAGAGGCACATGCAAAGAGCACATAAAAGGTGGCAGCAGGTCTGAATGCAGAACAAAAGCTCACTGTGGAGCGCACCATGGCTGTCACCCACTTTCCTGATCAAAGCCAGTCCCCACTCACTCTCTCCTGATTCTCCCATAGAAATGGGTGTTGTTACTCTCTCAAATCCCATCCTCACTGCAGTTGTCATGTCCAGGGCTCTCTAGTGGCTCTCATTAACCAGCTTTCCAAGGGCTGACTTCTCCTTCAGCTAGATTGTCCCCCCAAGTAAGTCTCAGACACTGTCTCCTGTCCAGCAGTTTCTTCTGGCAGTGCTCTTACAAGATGGGGAGCGGGAGCGGGAGCAGGCCAGCAGCAGGGGACAGACTGACCGGGAAGGTCTCCATCTAGAGACTGTGTTCAGGGGGGCCCTTCCCCTTTATTTGCTATTATTTAATATTCAGTCCAGGTGAGTTACCAGGTGTTTCTTTCATAAAGGTTGTGTAAGCTATCCCTGTAAGGTTAAGCTTTGTCCTCAGGTTTATGAAAGCTGCGTGTGTGCTGGGGTGGCCTCGCCTCTGAGAAATCCCTGGGCCACAGTTAGAATCCCCAGGCCAGGTTGCATCATACTGTAAGTGACATGTGGCATCAGCCCTGCCAGACGCCTGAGTGGGCCTTATGGCTGCCATTAATCTTGTAACTACAATTTGTCCCTCCTAGTATACTACAGCCACGGAAATCTTTGTAAAAAAACCCAAATTTTATTTATGGAGCTTCTTTCCAATTCGTGTCATTCACTTCAATTCAATTTCTCTTACATTTTTAACCTAGAAAAAGAGTTTGGCCAAATGAATCCATTGACGCTCCTCTTTCAGAATCCTAAAATATCCTTTTGAGATCTAAAAAAATACCTCAGAGGGTAGTCAGCAATTTCGAAGGCCTTCTCTTTATCCAGAGACTCAAAGCAGAATGTGGCAAAACCCAAACAGCTTAGCATGTGGTCCTTTGGCTGCCTGTACATCTTCTGATAAAGCAGAAGGACAAAAACAAAATAAAGGAAAGAAGGTGAGGTGGAGAAAGACAGAGGAGGGAAGGACGAAGGGAGGGAGGAAGAGCAAATACCCAAGCACTGAAGAGATCGTTTTAAAATTAATGCAAAACCCCATACAATCCGTCAGCAGATGTGTTTACATGTAACAGTTACAATTTCTTAGAAACAGTCTATTTGTCATAATCCTTTCTTTTACTTATTTTTTCTAATACCTATATTCCTAAAAAAAAGGGGGGGGGACATTTTTCTTATGTGCAATATGAACACAACTCTTCAGTATTGTAATGCATAATGGTACCAAGAGACGAAAGTTTCCTTCTTTACCGGATTGGATTTAACCTTAGTAAATGCAAAATTCTTTACGGTCTCACGCTCACCCACTAGGCAACGCCAGCAAATGTCCACAGCAAATGGCATAAAGCACTTTGAATGAGAATGAACATCAAGGCTTAGCTGGTTATACAAATCTTTCCTTAGTGCTCAAAAAACCTATCTTTTCAAAATGTAGAGTTCCCCTTCCTATTGTCACATGAACTTATTTTTAGGAACTAAAGTATTTCTCTATTAATTATAATCAAGCACCACCCTAAAAATTATTTCTATGGGCATTTTTCCACACAAGAAAAATCATCAGAAGTCTCAGGGTAACATGCTTAAAACATTCCATTTGTGATTTTCACATAGGATATAAAAGTCTGTCCAAAAGCCATGCAGACAGAGGGTCAATTATACCTTCAGATCCTAATGTTGTAGCTCACGTGGGCCCGAGCTGCAGAACCTTAGCAATAAAACTCTGGCCTGGAGCCTTCGTTTTTAAAGGTCACCTGAGATCCTTCTCTCGTCTTAGAACAGAGCAGCATTTTTTCTGAGTCGTCCCTGTGCCTTCGTGTCCATAGCTCCCCCACACTTTGAGACCTGGGAGACAGGGTCTCAAATTGGATATAAGTCTCTTTTGCCAAATCATCTTCCCACAAAGAGTCTGACTTACATTGCAGTCTGCAAACTTTGTACAACAAGAAACAAATCAATGGCAAGACAACAATACAGGCAGTACTGGTCACCCCAATAAGCAAAAACCATTGGGAATCATGGTCTTCAACTCTTTTGGTAAAAAAGGTGATACACTGGTCTTTCTGGGGAGGCACTCCTTTGGGGCAGACACAGGCCACGTATTGCCCACCAGGCTCCAAGCCATCTATGGTTACTTGGTTCTGGCTAGAGTCTGCATTCAATAGCAGCAGGTCCTTCTCACCGTATCTGGAATACAACACAGTCACCGCAGAGTTATGTGAGGTATTAATGACGTTCCACATCAAAGTCACACTCTCTTGAGTCTCGCTAACCACCCTGAGATTTTCTACCGTGGCGTTTGTCTCCATAGGCATTGCCAGCTCTTCTTTTTTACTCGCACTGGCTGGGGGAAGCTTACTTCCATTCATCTCCACCTTTAAATTTCTGCTCCCATCTGGATGGACCTGGAGCGACAGCCTGCTGGCCGTGGTGGTACTTGCTGAAATGCTAGAGCTTCGCCTTGCGGTTGAAGAAACAAGGGAGGAGAGGAAAGGAGATAAAGAGAAGGAAGCGGTGGGGGGAGGAGACAGAGTGGAATTCAACAGAGAAGTGGAAGACACGGGGGAGGGAGGGGGGGAGGAAGAGGACCAGGGGGATGATGAACTCGGCATGGATGTCAGTCTCCCAGATCCCGGCTGGACCTCCTGCTCAGGGTGATTGCCAGTTCTTCTTTCTGAAGTGTCTATTGATAGGGTGGTTGTGACAATACCAACCACTGTCACCGTAACCACAGCTTCTGACATCCCAGCCAAATTTTTGGCCTTACATTTGTAATCTCCAGCATCTTTGTAAGAAATGCCCGTCAAGCTTATTATGGACCATCTGACTCCTTCCCTGGGAGATTCCTGTATTACTGGGAGAAAACAAATGCATACGCTGTGAGAAAGAAAGAAACAATTCAAGCAGAGAAGAAAACTATCCATTCTACAAGCATCCATTTCACATCAGCCACCGGGAAATGGGAAATGGCACTCTGCAAGTCTCTGATGACACATGATGATTCTGCAAGTTGCTTACATGAACGTCTAAGGCCTGCCAATGGCCTGTACGGGGAATGGCATTTTAATAAACTTTTGTCCACTAAGTAGTGTGTGATTTAAGACAAGTTAATTAGTATATTTAGGCTTCTGTTCCTGTATTTATAAAATAAAGGAAAATGAGACAAACTGATTTCAAAGACCATTCCAATTTTAACTCACTATAATTCTATAAAAGGTTTATCATAAGACTTTACTTATATATTTCTCAAGATATCTTTTCATTATAATAAAATGCATCTATCCACATAGCCTGAGGTACAGCAGATCTTTTCCTGGCATGGAAGAGTCAGCATTTGTATTCTGAATCATTTATTTTATTTTTAACTTAGATAAACTAGTAAACCATGGATAGTTTTTATAAGAGTTTTGCTTTCCTAATTACTGATATCTGTATATACTTCCATTCTGTCTTGATTTTAGAAGCTTTCCAAAAAATAGTAATGCATAGAACTATATACCAGTAGCCTAAAACTCAACTCCCTAGCTTAAACTGTGGGCTATTAACTATCTATATATATGAATATTAGGCCTGAACTTTAAAAAATTCCACCAGGTTTCATTATTTCAACCTCAATTTTAATTTAATTTTGAAGAGTTTTAAAAACATATCCCTTTGTCAGAATATCACTGTTGAAACTGGGGACAAAGCACAGACTTTATCATAGTAGGAGCTGAAAAAGTCTCTTTAATCAGTATGTTCAAAAATTATACTTTTTGAATTATAAACAGGTCTCCATGTAATTATTATTTAAATAATTATTCAAAATAAGAAAACTTTATAAAATGCCTTTTTTAAAAAATTGTAAAAACACAATGCACATTTTGACGTGAGCTATATCCAAGACAAAAGGGTCATCTACTCACTCATCATTTTGTGTCTACCTAAGTTTAGATTGTCTAATTTTATCTAGGTAGTTAGACAAACTAAACCAAGGAAAATATTAATCAATAAAATGTACCTTTCAAATTCTTTGTACCCAACAATCTTGGAATTGTGTGAGTAGTGTCAAATTCCACAAAAACATGAGACCCTCGTAAACTGTTTGTTTCATAGGGCTGAATTAAGAAATACCTGTATAATTAACTGGTGCACTGTCAGATCTGGTCCACGTGAGCTGTGGGGTGGGGAAGCCAGTGGCATCGCACCGCAGCAGGACATTACTGCCCAGAGCAGACATGATTTTGGTGGCCGAGGTCATCACAGATGGCTTCTGACACTGCTCCAGCTCAGCCCGCTGAAATGGAATTCCTGCCAGGTGCTCGGGCTCACTACAAACCATCAGTGGATCCAGAAGCACGACAGCAAAGTCAGCAAACTTCGACAACTCAATCATTTTGGAAATGTGACAGTCACAGAACCAAGGGTTGTCCTGCAGACCTAAAACAGAAAGTAGGACAAGCTTGATAAAGGTATAATCTGAGGACTTCAGTTTCCATCACAGCCTCCAGGAGAGTAGAGACTCCAGTGTTTCCCTAAAAACAGAAGTTCTTTGAGAGAATAAGTAGGGTCAGTTTTGCCCTGAGGCCCAGCAACCCAAATGAACATATCCTGGCCTTTAATGCACATCATTACTAATCAAAGCTGGAATTGGCGACGATTCAATCTCTTGGCTGTTATGAAATTCACAATTTTGATGACAATTTGCATGACCCTCTTGTGAGGGTGAGAGTACTCTGCATTATTATCCCCATTTGGAAGATGACAAAGCTAAGACACAGAGGGGCCAAATAATTTGACCAAGATAATATAACTCAGGGGTGTCCGCCCAAGGCCGGTGGTCTGCATGGAGCCCAGGATGGCTGTGAATGAGGCCCAACACAAAATCGTAAACCTACTGAAAACATGATGAGTTATTTTTGTGATTTTTCTGACGGAATTCGATTGCACAGTTCTTGAGTGTGAACTTTGTAAACACCGTCATGTTGCAATGTCACTGTCATGTAAAATAGATACATGTAGGTTCTTGCTATGTGTACATATGTGTGGCTTCAGTTCAGAGCCATGTGTAGCTTCCAGTGTGTTGTCTTCCAAGTGCCGTCGAACTGACACCATGTGTGCCTGTAGTGACGTGGCAAAGCGGTAATTATCAATAATATTTCCACTACCATTGCAATGTCAGGTTGATGTTAATGAGAAGTCAGGTAAGCATTCTTATCCTGCTTACCAAGGCTACTCCACACCTTCACGGCGCCTCACCCAACTCGGCCCTCTGCCTCACCCTGCTTCCCTGCCCTGCAGCTGAGATGTGGAAGAGACCAAACCTTGCTTTCCATTTTCCCATCGATTAATTTTTATGATAAAAGTAAATATAGTACCTTATTTATTATTATTCTTTAATCCCAGCATGGCCCCTACATCAAGAGAATTTATGCACAAAATCTTTAAAAATGAATAACGTCATGCAAATTGTCATCAAGATTGTGAATTTCATAACAGCCAAGAGATTGAATTGTCACCAATTCTAGGGATTCCTTAAAAGTATTAATGCTGACTATGGTGGCATTGTTTACTTTTCAGAAGTAAGATGCTAAACCAAGGCCGAGATTGAAGATATTTTATGATCTGCAACATGTTATCAAGTTGTTTATGATATCAAAAGCCAGATTTGTGCCAGAATTTGATTATGAAAACTGATTTATAAGGTTGGTCGCCTGAGCTCAGTAGCTAGGGGGGCTGGTAGGTTCAAATCCACCCCAGGCCTGCCAAATAACAATGACAACTACAACCAAAAAAATAGCTGGGTGTTGTGGTGGGTGCCTGTAGTCCCAGCTACTTGGGAGACTGAGGCAAGAGAATTGATTAAGCCCAAGAGTTGGAGGTTGCTATGAGCTGTGATGCCATGGCATAATGAAGTTCTGTCTCAAAAAAAAAAAAAAGAAAGAAAGGAAGGAAGAAAACTGACTTAGAGATACAGCATTTTTAGTGGACTTAACCACTCATTTAAATGAAGTAAACATGTATCGTTAAGGTGAAAACCAACTTTTCGATACAGTGTTTCAAACCCATAACAGTGTTTCAAACCATAACAGCATTTCAAATGAAACTGAAATTAAGACAGCTCAAATTAAGGCAAACAATTGTATACATTTCTACACATTGGCTAAACACAGTTCCATGAACTGTGAAAATGATGATCCTTGGTTTTTTATTTGATTCAAGAATTCTAAAATAGATACCAAGATTCCCAGAAAAATAATTAAATTTTGGTGCATTTGCAACTCCACTTTCAGTTGCCATAAATGTTACCTGCCAGTGCATCGAGCTGCAATCTGACCTTCAACTTTGATCCTGGCTCTTTACTAGACTTTTGTAGGTCCTATCTTTTCCCCAATAAAAGTATCCCTCACTTCACAATCATGCCTTATTCATGTAATGGCTTCTACAAATGCAGCACCTACATTTGTGAGCAGTTATTTTCAAGAATGAAGCACATTAAAATTAGGACCAAAATACCTGATGAGCACCTTGAGAACTCACTGAGAATTCCAATTACTTCCATCCAAACAGATATGCGTGCATTCATTTCTCAAATACAATATCAAATATCCCACTAGTTTTATGCTGCCCACTTTTCTTTTACTTTTATAATCTAAAAGATCCAAAAAGCCAAAGACACCTTATTACTTAGCTATGGACATTTTCTATATTAGTGATCACAAGCCTGAGACCTGCTCGATGATTTTCAAGGACTCTCTGAACAAACCACTACATAATTGGGGTTGATACCATGAAAATTATGCACATGTTTTATTTTTTTTTTTGATCATCAGATTTTGTTAGTGTTTATGTATTTAATGTGTATCCTAAGACAACTCTTTTTCCAATGTGGCCCAGAGAAACCAAAAGACTGGACACCCCTGATGTAATCAGTGTCAGAGCCCAGATTGAATCCAGGTACCACAGGGGCCATAAACACAGTGATAGAGATATTTCAAACATGGGCTTCCTATGAAGTACTTACAGTACTGTAAGTATTACAAGGGTGCTCGGGGCTCCTAACAGCCATGGTTCAGTGTGACCTGAAGACATATTGAGGTGACACAAGTTTTTGTGTAGCAAAGCTGAGAGGCAGGCAGTGGCAGGAGATAAGACTGAAAAGGCTGGCAGAGGCAAGAACGTGGGTTGGCCGCGTGGCGTATGTGGTAGCCATGAGGTGCTTTGCTCAAAGCTCAAACTTAGCAGAAGCTGCTGGGCCTTCGAGGAGGCTGTCAGTGTGAGTTTGAAGGAAAGTGAGGAAAATGCTGTTGGAAAGCAGAAGAAAGAGAATCCTTACACAGAGTGGCAGAGAGGTTGGCAGCACTGTCACCTGTGGCAAACATGGAAAGTAGAAAACCCACTCAACGAAATGAGCCATCTCCCCAAGGAGATGCCCACACAGAGCGTTGAAATTGCTGCTGGCTGTCTTGCTAGTAAAAGGGAAAGGAGAGACATCAGGTAAAGAATTGTTCAATATAAATGAGATTTGCTGGGTTTGATAACAAAGCTGTGTCTCATTCCCAGACTCCCTAAATTCTCAAATTAAGAAAGGACTTCAGAGCAAAAATAAAATCCAGGGCGAGACTATAAAATTGTTTGCTGAAATCTCAGAAGGATCTAAGATAGTGCTTCATGGCATACTGTAAGACAGAAGTCTCCTTAGGATGATATCCCATAACAGCTTCACAGAGAACCCAAGATAAAAAAGAATTCATCTCAGAGATTTGTGGTTATGGCTTTTTAATAATGGAGTGGATTTTATATTGAGAAGAAAAGACAGAACTGCAATTTTACTTTAAATTTCTAACCCTGGTAGAAATTTAACTATTCATACACTCTATGTTTTTATTATGCCTTTCTTTATTGCAGTAGCGTTTCATGACCAATTTTTTCTGATAGAAAAGTTTATTTTTTCTATGGCTCGGTGCCCATAGCTCAGTGGTTAGGGCGCTGGCCACAGGCATTGGGGGCTGGTAGGTTTGAACTCAGCCAGGGCCTGCTGAACAATGACAACAATAAAAAAAAAAAATAGCTGGGCATTGTGGTGGGCACTTGTAGTCCCAGCTATTTGGGAGGCTGAGGCAAGAGAATCACTTGAGCCCAAGAGTTTGAGGTTGCTATGAGCTGTGATGCCACAGTACCCTACCCAGGGCCACATAATGAGACTCTGTCTTTAAAAAAAAAAAAGTTTATTTTTTTCTATGTTCTATTTTTAAAATTTGCTTTACTTCCATGGGAGAATAACCTTGAACTTTTCCCTCTTACATTTAGTCTTGTGGATCTGTTATACAACTAGTTCTCTAATTAATATTAATTTGAATTCTGTTCTCTTAAATGTTGGCACCTTCACCCAATTTCATTCCACAAGCAGGTTTTCTAGTTTATTTTTCTATCGCAATGCCTAAGCGTGCCTCTGAACCCTAATGTCTGGGCTGAAATCCCATTTCTACCAAGTTTCACTGCTATGGATAAGGATCCAACAACCTCTCTCGGCCTCACCTTCAGCGAGTATATGTGGCAATAGTTCTTTCATAGAGATGCAAGAAATTCTAATTAAACAATGCATGCAAATTACCTTGAACAATAGCATCTTCACGGTAAAATCTCTGCAAACCTCAATGTATCTTGCTAAACATAGTACTTAAAACCTTTTGCTAATATAGTCAAAGTTTCAATCTCTGAATAAGCAACAAATTTCACACAGAGAAAAACATATTCCCTGGAATATGGAGTGTATATTTTCTTGCTGTTAACCAAAAGAGATCTAACTTAATGCCATCTGCACCTCTACGGAACAAACAATTCAAAGCCAATACATTACGTAGTGGTGGTGATGTGATCTGAGATCCTGACACACCTATGATAATGAAGTCAGCAAACAGTTATTCAAAAACCCACTTCCCTTCTAGACATCACATTAGATATTCATTCATTATTGCAAATGTTGGTTGGTCTGATATATGAAGGCCTGATTTAAATACGGTATGAAATAGTAATAAAGGTAAAAGGGGAATTGACAGTCTCACAAACTTGACTGTGCTTCAGTTCTGGATGGGGCTCTGCCATTAACAAACTCTGTGTGGGCCAGGCGCAATGGCTCACGTCTGTAATCCTAGCACACTTGGGAGACTGAGGCAGGTGGATTGCCTGAGCTCAGGAGTTTGAGACCAACCTGTCCAAGAGTAAGACAGGTGACAGGTGTAGGCCCAGCTACTTGGGAGACTGAGATAAGAGAATCACTTGAGCCCAAGGGTTTAAAGTTGCTGTGAGGTATGATGCCACAGCACTCTACTAGGGGCTAGAAAATAAGACCCTGTCTCAAAAAAAAAAAAAAAAAAAAGCCAACTCTGTGACCTCAACACTGCAGCCTTGCTGAGCCTCAGTTTTCTCACCTATAAGAT